CACTCACGGCCATTGAATGAGGCGACAGAGCATCGGAGAGCCAGGGGCACTTCCCTCCCTCCCAGGGCTGGACCTCAGGGTCTCAGCTTCGGCCTGGATCTCCAGGGGTGACACAGGCACCACCGGGCATCAGAGATACGGAGGAGGGATAAAGGCATCATTGGGCATCAGAGACGAGAGGAGGGGCACAGGTGCCATTGCGCATCTGTGATGGGGGAGGAGGGTACAGGTGCAGGTATCTGGCATTACCTCAGCACCTCCCACTGCCTGAGTGGTGTGTGTCTGGGGGATGCCTGGCTTTGAGGCTGCCCACCTCCCGTGTTGGGGATCTAACCAGCCAACCCACAGGGGTACCTCATAGCAGAAGTGACCACAAGACATCTCACTGGCCTAACGGCCTAGATGGACACCTGCTGAGGAATGAGGCACCAGTGCACAGGGAGCCTGCCGAGTCCTTGAGGACCTGCCACAACTTCCTAGCACCTTAGAGGGCCCTGGGAGCACAGGGACCTGAGTGTTCTCTGGCCAGTGTGTCCCCTCGGCTCTCCTCTCGGAGGCTCCCTTTTCTGGCAGGACTCCTGTGGGTGCTGAGGGCCAGGCAGGTGCCAGAGGCTGCGTGGAGACCAGCTTCCCTGGGGAGCAAGGGACCAGGATGACCGTAGCGGGACAGGCTCACCCCGGGATGTACAGCGCACTGTTCTGCATGTGGGCAGTGCGATGACCCCACTGGGAGCCAAGTGGGAGACAGGAGTACACAGGGATGGCGCTTGCCTGGCACACAGCTGACCTGGGTTTGATCCCCGGCCTCCCACAGGGTCTCCCTGAGCACTCCTAGAAGCAATTCCTGAGTGCAGAGCCAGGAGTAACCCCGGCAGGGTGTGGCCCCAGAACCAAACCAAAACCCAGCCAAGCCAACAAGGGCGCCGGCTGCAGATCCAGACAGTGCGTGCAAACCCCACTGGGCAGACCCCACCATGACTGAGCTGAGTCGCCCTGGCCCCCCACCCACCCCCATGCCTCAGTCTCCTCTGCTAGATAGCGGGGAGGATCCTTGCCCACCTCTAAGCCCCCAGAAAGGGAGACTGGAGACTCAGCGACAATAGCACCGAGTACCTCAGGTAACAGCGAAGCCTGAGAGACAGACACTGTCCAACACCATCAGGTGCCCGTGTGATGTGCACATGTCCTGTGTGTGCACGTGTGTGTGCACACATCACATTCTCCCAACAGCCCCTTAAGGAAGGGGCTCAAACAAGCCGCCTCCGAAGGGCCCCAGAGGCCACCAACTCAGGCTCCCTGGGCGGGACTCTCCCCCTCCCGCTCGAGTCCCCAGACACACTCTGCTGACTTCCTGCGGGCACAGACTGAGGGCCAAGGCCCGGCTGGACTCTGGTTCCAGGAAGGCCCAGTCACCCATGATGGCCGAGGGCTCCCTTCCACCCAGGGTGGGCTCTGGGCTCCGGCTCCCCTGGCCTGGGCCGGGTGCCCAGAACAGGCAGCCCTGGCTGGAGGCTTTCTCTGGCTCTGGCTGCGGGGAAGGGAGGCGGCGGCAGCCCAGCTGGGCCCTGGCCGTAATGAGACCTCATTAGTGGGATCCAGCTGCTCGGGCCCCACTTAGGGCGGCCGGCTCCCCCAGCCCGCGCTCTGACTTCCCTTAATACGAGCAGGCGTGCTTCCAGAGGGGCAAGGAGTTGAGGGACTGTGTGGGTTCTGGAGCTGCCGGGGTGGGGGCACTGCAGGGAAGGAGCGTGGGGGGAGGGGGGCTCGGCCTGGAGGAACCGGAGAGCAGATCCAGGGTGACGGAGGGCAGCCTGGAGGCAGCAGCCTCTTCTTTGCATCTAAAGCCAGTGCTTTGCACGGGCCCCGGGGCCGCGGCAGGCATCCAGAGATCATCCTGGGGAACCCCTGGGCCAGGAGCCGAGGGGCTGGACTGTCCTTGTGAGGACACACATGGGTGCAAGGCCTTTGGTACAGGGTAGCCCTGTATGGCCATGCTGGAGGCAGGGGAGTCCCAGCTGCAAGGGCAGCCTGGGATTAGAAGCGCCTCCAGGCAGGAGGAACTCTGCCAGGGACTCCCACTGGGTGCTAGGAATTGAGTCGAGCAGTTCCCATCAAAGGTCACAGAAATAGGACCGCAGGTGGTTCATGCTGGTCTCGCACACAGCCGACCTGGGTTTGATCCCCAGCACTGATAAGGTCCCTCGGTAAGGTTCCCCGAGCCCGGTCAGGAGGGACCCCTAAGTGCACAGCCAGGAGTAACCTCTTTGTATGGTGCCCAAACCAACCAACCCCCCTGAACAAACAAACTAGAAGCTCCCGGAGCTGTCTGCCCAGAAGGGGAACATCTGGGGAGAGGGTACCAACCGCTGCTCTCGGGACCCCCTCACGGATGCCGAGTGGGACACAGGTAAGGAGGCTGGGGACGCCAGTCCTGGGCAGGGCGTGCCCCCGGAGTGCTGGCCTGTGCTGAGTCTCCACCAGGGAGGGAGGCTGCGTGCTGGGACCCGCACCAGGTGAGTGCCGAGTAGGTAACAGGCTCAATTCAGGGAGTGCCCCATGTGGACCAGGCCTGTGCTTGGTGAGGGCCTCATGCCAGCCAAGCCCATGCCCGTCAGGCACTTTCTGCATGCCAGGACTGGGGTGGGTGAGCGCCCACTGTGTGCCAGGTAGGTCCTGAGCATGATGGGGCCGATGAAAGGTGGCCAAGCCCTCCTGGGTAGGGAAACAGAGGGAGGAGGGTGGGCTGGGGCGGCCGTGGGCCTGGACCTGTGGGGATGGTCGGCGTGGGGACCCCGGCCTCCTGACTGTTCTGATCCGGGCAGGTTTCTGGGTGCGGAGGTAGGGGGTGCCCACAGATGCTCTGAGGGCGGTGGGTGGGATGAGGGCACAGGGTAGGGGGCCAAATCAGCTGCCCTGGGCACTTAGTTCAAGGCCCTGAACTTAAAGCTGCGCCATGGGACTCTCTGGCTTCCTGTCCTCAGCATCCCTCTTCCAGTTCCCTAAGCCCCGGGCAGTGCTGCTGTTGCCCAGTGTACCCCACCAGGCCCCCGAGCATCCCAGCTGCTCCTGGCGCCCTGGCCAGCTGGGCTCTCGCAAGATCCCATCCTAGGGGCCGTTGAGGCGTGAGTGTGGCAGCTGAGCCTGCCTGGCAGAGACCTTCTGGGCTGGGAGTCGGGGAGGGACACGTGCGACTGGCATGTGGGCCTGGGCACGTGCGGGGCAGCACTGCCCACCTGGGGAGCCTGGCAGAAGCTCCAAGGAGGGCATAGGCTGTGTCCATGTCCTTCTATTCCTCCTTGGGGCAAAGGGACGAGGGCGTGAGGACCCCACGGCAAGGGCAGGATGCCTGTGCTACATCCCAGGGCCTGAGGGGCATGGGAGCCGCAGAGCTGGGATGGCCCCAGGGCCACTGGTTGACAGGCATGCCCCTCAGCAGCCCCTCTCTTTCCCCACCTCAGCATGTGTGAGAGGACCGTCTTCAGCCATCGGCCTGGAGGGGACGCCGCACCCAGTCAAGGGGTGGCTCTGCCGCCTGGGCTGGCGGAGAGATGGGGCTCCTCGGGCCGTCTCCTAGAGACCGGCACTGAATGGAGGCGCGTTCAGTTCCAAAACTGGGGCCCGTGAATAGAGTAGCCCAAGGTCAACAGTGGAACTGGAAAAGAGGCAGGAATAGAATCTCCAGCAGCCACTGGGGGTGCCCAGGGGACAGATGCTATGAGCCTCAAAGGCAGCGGCGACGGCGGTCAGGACCGGAGGGCAGAGGGCGCGGAGAGACGGAGCCCCGGCTATCTTTAGGCACATCCTGATGCTGGGAACGGGGGTCCCCAGGCTCCCCTCCCTCCCCCCTCCCCTCCCCTGGTCCTGCAGAGCCCACGAGAGGGGGGGCTCGAGGGGGAGGGGACAGCTCTGCTCCAGCAGGGTCTGAAGACTGCTGCGCCCACAGCCCACAGCCCCCTGACTGCCCCACACGGGCTTGTGGCCTCCTGGGGCGTCCCCCGAAAAAGCGGAGCAACTGGGGGCCTGCAGTGTGTCCTGGGCTTCCAGGGACAGAGCTACCCACTTCCTGCAGCGTCGCTGCCCGTGCCAGGACTCCCCCAGGTGGAGAACCCACATCGAAAGTTATCCCAGCACCCCCAGGCGCCCCAACAAGCATTCCGGTCATGACCCCTCCAGCTGCTCCCCCAGAATGCAGGCGGGACTTGTTCCTCCTGGGGGCGCCCGATCAGAACCCTGGGGCAGGGGCTGGGCGCCGAAGGAGGGTCTTAACATGTGGAACAGAGCCACCCTGTCCCCCCTCCCAAGATCATGCCTTTGGAGCTGCCCCTGGGGAGGGCTCAGCAGAGAGTCGGGACCACTAGAATGCGCAACACACAGAGGTGGCGAGGGTCTGGCTCACTCACTGGCTTCGACTCCCAACAGCCCCCCCCACCCCCGAGCATATCCCCAGGCCAGACCCCAAAAGAAGTACAGTCGCTGCCCTTGGGGCCAAGTCTGGCCTTTTGCCCCTGGTCCCCCAGGGGGGGGCCTCCTCCTGCCAGCCTTGCCCCCAGCTTCTCAGGGTGTCCGCCGCCACCTCTCAGGGCCAGAGGTGGAGAAGGGGAGAGGGAGGCTCTCTCGTAAGCCTTGGGCAAGTTGCCAGGTGATAGGTTCTGAGTCACTTTCAGAGCGAGAAGGAACCAGAAGGTAGAGAAGCAGGGCCAAGGCCCCTCTCAGCCAGCCCCACTAAATACGGGTGGAATGCGGGGTGGCCAGCTAGGGGTGCCCTTTGGGGCTCAAGACTCAGTGTCTTCCCTCCTGCAGGCTCATGCAGGATCTGCCCTGCTGGGGGTTCAAAGCCCCCTCCTCCCCTGACACCACACACACACACACACACACACACACACACACACACACACACACACACCCCCAGCACCCAGAGGGGCCTCCCAGCTCTTCCTGGGGTGGCAGAGACGCCGAGAGAACAGCCTCGTGTCCCTCCCCACGGCCCAACTGTTACTCACCAGCATCCCTTTGGCACCTTTTCCTACCATGGTGGCAGTGAGGTGGGCTCTGGGGTCTGGGACCACACGCACAGCTTGGCTTCTGGCACCTTCTAGACCACAGACTTCAAGGGCTGCGGAGAGAACAGAGTGAAGTGAGGCCCGAGCCCAACGAGCAGAGGACGTGGGAACGTGGCCCTCCCCTCCCCACACTGTCCAGACTGGGGGAGGGGCTGCAGGTCCAGACTCCCCCCATCCTGCTGCTTTCAGAGTGACCTCTCTGCCACTCCTCCCTCGCTCCTCTCCCAACCCTTCCCCGGCATCCCTGGGGCTCCAGGCTTCCTGTCCCCATGGGCAAAGGCCTATTTTTGACTCTCCAGATGCCCAATTCTATAAAAAAAAAAATAATAATAAAAAATAAGCCCAGAACTGGGACAGGGTCTGGCTCCTTCAGCGTCTGGGTGAATGACTTCAACCTTTCCCCTCAAGGCCTGTCAGCTCGCCTCAGGCCGGGCTCCCCAAATGCCTCCCCCATCCTGGTGCCACTCAGCTGGGCTCCAGGAAGGTCTGGGGACGCGCTCCTGATGGGGACTCTCGGTCACTCCAGTGCGGGCGGCGTTCTGTCCTTGCCTGGCTGAGTACTTCCTCCTGGCCCCACGTGGAAAGCCTTTGGGCAGAGTCTATATATCCACTCTTCTGGGGGGGCCCCTTCCTAACCCGGCCACCACCAGAAAGAACCAGGGCTTTCTCCTGCATCCTTCTCAGCTCCCATAAAACTGACTTTCTGACGGTGGGTCTGTCTATCAGCTGCCAAGGGCACCCTGGCTCTTGGGTCTGTCTGTGCATCCAACCCTCTCGCTCAGAGCTACGTGGGCCGAACCGAATGGAGGAATGAACTGCATGGTGGGTGAGGGGCACCCCTCATGTCAGGGGCCAGGCCGGGCTGAGATCTGGAAGCAAGCACTGAGACACAGTGTGGGGCCTGTGCACGGAGCAGAGAGGGGGTGGAGCCCCCCAGAGCTATGTTGGGCTCTGAGGGTTCATGTCAGTGCTGGAGATCGAACCCAGGATTTAGCAAGGGGAACCCGCCCTTTGTGAGACTTTCTGGGGTTTCATTCCGTCTCTTTTCAAGACTCTTTTTCATTTTTCGTACTTTGCAAGAGGTAGGTGCTCAGGAGACCGGGGGCCACTCTGATAATAATCTGTAACCCCATATGGGTTGCTGACTCAATGCACCTGTCTGAGGGTGCACTGTGGCTTTGGCCCCAACAGGGCTGGCGGGAGGGGACTCCAGGGTTGCAGACAATAACACAGTGGGGTGAGGGATCAGACTGGATCCAGTACACTACCTCCCTGAACCCCTGTTTTTTTTTTCTTTTAGGGGGGAGCATTTAAGTGCCTGCCACTGGGGCCAGAGTGACAGTACAGTGGGTATCTGTACACTGTACAGAGAGTACAGCGGGTAGGGCGTTTGCCTTGCATGTGGTTGACCCCAGATTGATCCCTGGCATCCCGCATGGTTCCCCGAACACCGCCAGTAGCTCCTGAGTGTAGAGCCAAGAGTAACTGCTGAACATTGCTGGGTGTGACCCAAAAGGCACAAAAAATAAATAAATACAGTGCCTGGCCACTACCACAAATGGCACTGCAGTGTTTCCCGCCCTTGGGAGACTCATTAGGTGGGCCCAAGCAGAGTGAGCCAGGCAGGTAAGGCTCACCCTACGAAAACTGCCTTCCTGATGGGGGGTGGGGGGTGGGGGGTGGAGGGGGGGGGTCTCTCCAGAGGGGTGTCAGGAAAGAAACCAACCAGCAGCAAACCTCAGAGAATTCTCCTGGGAGGAAAATTCTGCACCCAGGGTGAGGGCCATCCTCCCCCAGGAAGGATTCGGCTCTCTGTTGCTGAATCTGCTGCAGCTCTGCCTTCCCCTCGCAGGACCAGGAAGCCAAGGCTGTTTCAAAGGCGGTTCTGTGTCACTCTACCACCTACTGCCACCATCAAGGGCCACCTCTGACCACAGGTCCAGGAAGTCAATCCCTGGAAACCTGGATAGTAGCTCTAGGCCTATGTAAATCAGCCTGATTTCCATAGGGCTCTGTCCCTATGGTCTCCTGCAGGGCTCTGTCCCTATGGTCTCCTGCAGGTCTCCTGCAGGGCACTCTCGGAGGGCAGGGACTTGGAATCATTTCCCTCTGCCAGTCACCCTTGGGCCTCTCTGCCCCTTGGTGTCCTTGGAATGAAGGCCTTGCTCTTGGATTTGGTCTTCCAGGGGGACAGTCAGAGAGGGGGTGCTCCCTAGGAAGGCAATCGTCTGTTTCATTCACTGCGCCAATGCCTCCAAGCTCTGAACTCCAATTTGACCACCTTCAAGCCGGTGAGTAAGCTGGATGAAGGACTGGAAAGATAGTACAGCTGGTAGGGCACTTGCTTTGCATGCAGCCGGCCTGGGTTTGATCCCGGACACTCCATAGGGTTCCCCAAGACTGCCAGGAATGATCCCTGGGTGGGGAGCCAGGAGTAAGCCCTGAGCATGGCTGGGTATGGCCTCACCTCCTCCCCACCCCCCAAAAAAAAATAAATAAATGAAAGGAGGATGAAGATACCACTTTGGGGATTCCCACTGGGATGGGAAGTAATAGGCAGGTAAACTGAGGGCAGGTAGTTCAGAAACTTATGCTTCAGGGTGTTCTCACCCTCCTAAGCAACCAAAGAAAATCGGTCCTTGCCCTTCTGTAGGGTGGGGCAAAGACTACTGTGAAGAGCTCCGAGGACACGGAGAGGAAGCTTGGCTACCTCTCCTGCTGCTGTCGTCTCTGTATATGTATTTGGTTTGGGTCCACGCTCAGTGGTGTTTTGGTATTTAAGGGTTGCCCCGTCCGCATGTTCAGGGACTATGTGGGGCAGGGGACTGAGCCCAGGTCTCCCACATATTTGCCCTTTAAGCTCTCTCCAGCCCCGGCCATTTCTATTAAATGGCTTAAAAAATGAGCTGCTGTGGGCTGGAGTGACAGCACAGTGCATAGGGCATTTGCCTTGCACACAGCTGACCCGGGTTCCGTTTGATTCCCAGCATCCCACGGTGAGTCCCACGAGCATCACCAAGGAGTGCAGAGCCAGGAGTAACCCCTGAAAGGATCGCAGGATGTGACCCAAAGAGCCAAAAAAAAAAAAAAAGAGTTGCTGAATATCCATGAGATGTCAAGCCCCCTTTAAAGCCCCGGGAGATCCAGGTCACTCAGGCACCAGATGGGCCCTGAAATGTACATGAGTGTGACTGACAAGCAGGTGAGCATGTGAGCATGAGTCTGGGCGCTCCAGGCCTCATGGGCCTGCGCTGGGATTCTGACTCGATCACTCACCACATGCGTAACTTCAAGGAGATAGATTAATCTCTTTGAATTTTGGTTTTTCTCATCCTGGAAGACAGGGTTAAGAATGCTTCTTTTGGGCTGGATCTATAGTACAGCAGGAAGGATGTTTGCCTTGCATGATGCTGACCCAGGTTCAATCCCCAGCGTCCCATAAGGTCCCCCAAGCACCACGAGAAGTAATTCCTGAGTGCAGAGCCAGGAGTAACCCGAGCATTGCTGGTGCGACCCAAAAAGCAAAAAAAAAAAAAAAAACCCTTCTTTTATTGGTTCTGAAATTCCTATTCTTTTTTTTTTTGAGGTGTGTGCGTGTGTGTGTGTGTGTGTGTGTGTGTGTGTGTGTGTGTGCGTGCGCGCGCTCATGCTCTGAAAGGTCAAACCCAGGAGTACATGCTTTACCACTAAGCACTATCCTTGGGGGGGATTTATTTTGGTTTAGGGGCCGCCCCGGTGGTGCTTGGTCAATGTGGTGCCAAGGATCAAACCTGGCAAGACATTTGCTCCAGACCTTTGAACCATCTACCTGACCTGCTTTTAAGAAAGCAAAATAGTTTTGTTTTTTTCCAGGGTCACACCCAGATGTACTCAGGACTTACTCTTGACTCCGAGTTCAGGGATCACTTCCTGGCAGAGCTTAGGGGACCATATGGGGTGCCAGGGGTTGGACCTGAGACAACCCTGTGCAAGGCAAGTACCCTACCCACTGTACTCTATCTCCAGCCCCGCAAAAATAGCTTTATTGAAAGAAATTTATTCTGAGAAATGTATGGAGAGGGAGAGGGAGGGAGGCAGATAAGGAGAAGAGAGATGGGGAGGGAGGGAAGGAGGGAGAGAGAGAGAGAGAGAGAAAACAATGAGAACAGGAACTTCTCGAGTAGATAAAAAGCAGAGAATGACTTAATGACTTTTGGGAGGAAGAAGGTTATATACAATTTCTGCTTTATTTTAGGCTCTACAAGTCCACATGTCCCACCCCTCCAATGCATTCATCTCCAAAGCCCTAAGGCCGGAAATGGAGCTTGGCAGTAGAGCACTCGCTTTGATGGTACGGGTGAGGCCCAGGTTCAGTCCCTAGCACCGTAAAAACAAAACAAAACAAAACCAAAACACACCAGCAAACCCAAACCCAACCAAAAGAAATGATTCTTCACCGCCAACAGGGTAAGCCCGAACTGCCGAGCGGGCTGGTAAGGCTGGCCCAATTCTATTACTTATTCCACAAATACGTATATCGCTGTCTTGCTGTGTTCCAAACTCACGTGAGGCACCAAGAACTCATGAGTCTCAGTTCCCTAACACACGCAGGCAGAGCTGAAGAGTCAGACCTGCCCACTGTTAAGCCAGAGCGAAAGGTGTGAAGGAGCAAAGTCTCCCCAGGTACCGGGAGGACATCCCTGGGGAAGGAAGGTTTCGGGGACACGGGGGTTGATCTGGCTGTATGTCAACAGCGGAGAGAGAACTTCAGGTCAATGAAACCATATGAGCCAAGAACCAACCTAAGTTTAAGCTGGGGAGAGTGGCCCAGGTTGAAGGCGGGCAGAGCAAGCAGGCCCGGGCCTTCGAGACCCTAGGTCTGGCTGTGGTTTAGGGGCCACAACCAGCAGGACTGCAGGGGCCACTCATGCTCTGGTGACAGGGATGCTCCCAGCTTGGTGCCTAGGCGACCACGAGGTGCCGGGGCATGGAAAACCTCCCAGGCCCAATTGTGCTTTTCTTTCTCCTTCCTGTGGAGCGAGAACCTGAGTGAAGGAGGGCAGAAGAAAGAAGCTGAGTTCAGGCAGGGCAGTCAGGGGTGTAGGAGGGCCGAGCAGAAGGGTGAGCGTGAGGTGGGAAGAGCACACAGAAGTGAGCAAGACATCAGAGGCAATATTGACAGAACTGGGCTAGGCAGATGGGACATGGGGTGGGGGGGGGTCTCTCAGACCCAGAGCCCGAAAGCCGGGCCTGCTGCTGGTCTGGAGTGGAAGAGATAGTGGGGGGGGGGTGCTGCCTGCCCCCCTCCCTCCCAGGAGTATATGGATACAAAGTCCTGTTAGAGTCTGTTTGTCTTTCTTTGCCCCCAAACAGATCAATTTGGGGGGTGGGGGCAGGTGGACGGGGGGGGGGGGTCCAACTGATCGTGTTCAGGGGACCCCATGGTGCTGGATATTAAACAGGGGTCTGCTGCATGCAAGGCAGGTGCCTTTACCCCTGGCCAGTCACTCTGAGGGGTTATGGGGCCAAACCCTGGGGTACTCCTGGGGGTGGACAGTGCCGGGCTCCTTCCCTGCCTTCACAGTCCTCACAGTTTCGCAGAGAGGGAGAGGGAAGGTACACTCCCCATGCACTGGACGGAGGGGTGGGAGCAGGGGAGGGGCCTTAGCTCAGCCTGGGAGTCAGGTGGATGACCTGTGGCTACCTGCTGCCACCTGTGGCCTTCGGTGGCCACCTGTGGCCCCTGCAGCCTGAGGGACTAGTCAGCACTCCCAGAGGGCTCTGCCTTCATGTCTTTGCTCAGACGATTTTCTGTTCCTTGAGCAATTCCGTCCTCATTTCCACCCGCTTATACCCTACCCATCCTCAAAACCGGCTCCAGAGCCTTTATCTTCAAGAAACCGCCCTTGGCAGGCCCAGTTGCAATCCATCTTTCTGCGGAACCCCCGGAGCATCTCGTGGCCAGCTAGTTAGCAGGCTCGTCACATGCGGCACTGCGGCAAGGCTCCTGTGTCTGGCTCCCCACCCGCTGGCCAGCTCTCGGAGCAGAGGGGTGACTGTTCTGTGTCCGCAGCTGGGCGCGGAGGGGTTATCATCACAGTCGCAGTGGAGGCCGACCAAGGGGGCGTTTTCTCTGCGGCCCTTGTAAACATTTGGGCATGCTCCGTGTCGCGCCTTGGTCCCTTCTAAGCACCAACCCCCTCACCCCCTCCTCTCATCTTCCCTGGGACTCAGGGGGCCCTAGGAAGGCTCTTTAACCTCACTTGTCCTTTCTCTTCTGCACCCTCCCGCAGCCTTTATCCTCTAGGGCCCGCAGCATCCGGTAATGTCTCTGCAAAGCAACAGACCCCCAACACACACACACACACACACGCACACACCCTCCCGCTTTGCGGACCAGCTGTCAGCAGAGCGCGGGCGAGGCGGCTCCTTTAAGAGTGACCGGCGGGGGGCGTGGCTTGCGGCGAGCAGGCCCGAGAGGGGGCGCGGCTCCTTTAAGAAGGCGCCGGCGGACTGCGGGGAGGCCCGGGAGACCGGCGGGCGGGCAGGGGCGCGGCCGCGCCGGGAGCTGCGGCCCCGCCCCGCGCGCCCCGATTCCTCGAAGCGGGGCGCGTCCGCCCTAATCGGGGGTGCGCGGCGTGTGCGTGTGTGTGCATGTGCGTGTGTGTGTGTGTGTGTGTGCGCGCGCGCGCCGGGCGTTACATCAGCCGCCACGTGTGGGCCTCCCAGCTGGCGTGGAGGCGGCGGCCCCGCCCCCGGCCCCTGCGGTGGAAAAGTACCGGGGCGCCGGGGTCCCCGCCCCCGGCCCCGCCCCCGGCCCCGGCCCCGGCCGCGCCGGCCCCTCCCGGGCCCCGGGGCGACCCCCCGCCCGGCCGGCCGGCCGCCCGCGGGCGCCAGGCCCCTGCCCGCCCCTGCCCGGCCCTGCCCGGCCCTGCCCGGCCCTGCCCTCACCTGCGCCCGCGCCGCTGGAGGCGCCTGCCGGGGGTCGCGGGTCCCCGCCCCCCGCAGCCCCCCGGACCGCCCCCGCCGGCACCCCAGCCCAGACCCGGGGCCGCGGACAAAGAGAGCCCGCGGGCGCGGGACCCCGCTCGGGGCGGCGGGGTGGGCGCGCAGACAGCGGGAGGCGGCCAGGCCGGCCCAGCTGCGGGGCGCGGGGATGCTGCGAGCCCGCACGCCGCCCCCGGCCCCCGCAGGGCCCCCCGGCGCCCCGGACGGACCGTGACACGCCGCGGTTCCGGGGCCACCCGCGCGGCCCTGGGCGCCCGCCGCCCCCGCCCGAGCTAGCGTCGGCACGCAGCGCCCCCCCCATCCCGCCCCTAAAAATGCCAACAACCCCCCAGCACACACACACACACAGACACACAGACACACACACACACACACAGACACACACACACGCGCGCGCGCGCGCCGCCGTTCCCGCCCGCTGCAGCTCCCGGGTGACAGCGGTGACACCCAGACGCGCGCACCTACCCCGACCTTTGCGGCGAGACAGGCATCCCCGTTGCGTGCACCCACACTCGTACCCACGGATGCCCGCATGCATGCGCGAGCGCACTCACACACGCGCGCACACACACACACAGACACACACACACGCGCGCGCACACACGCACGCACGCCGGTCCCGGGGCTCAGCGGCCAGGCGGACCGACCGACCGGCCGGACGCCGCGGGCCCGCAGCCCCCCTCACCTACCATGCTGCAGCCCCCGGCCCGGGCGTGCTGGGTCCGCACCGCGGTGCGCCCAGGTGGCTCTCTTAAAGGGAAAGTTGCATCAGCCTCCGGAGGCTCCGAGCCGCTGCGAGTCCGCCCGCCCCGCCGCGCCACTCGCGGCTCCCCGGGAGCTTGTTGTGTTTTGGCTTCGGGGAGGCGGGGGCCAAGAGTTCGGAGAAAGTTTGGAGAGTGGAGACGGCCCGGGAGTGCTCGCCAAGTCCCTCCCCTGCCCCGACAGCTCCCCTGGCCGTCCTCCTCCCCCTTCTCTCGGCTCATCCCCACCCCGCTGGCCGACTTCTCTGGCTCCTCCTCCCAGGGAATAAAATTACAAGTCGCTCCAGCTTTCGGGTGATTGATCCCCCCACCCCCGCCGCCCCCCGCGGACCCCAGGGAGTGGGCTCCACAAAGGACATCCCCCCTTCCCTTCCCCCTCCTTGGCCCCTGCCTCCCTGCCCTCCAGCCAGCTGGGGTCTTGGGGAAAGAGACTTGGGTCCCTTTGGGCTAGGCTGGATGGAAGCCAGAGGGCGGGGGGCGCTTTGGGGGGCTGGGGCTGAAGTTAGCCCGCCAGGCCGCGGCCTTCTGCGCCTGCGTTCCCCCTGGAGAGGCGTCAGAGCAAATTCCATTCCCATCGGAGCTGCACCGCTAGGGAATGTGGGCACAGCTGGGCAAGGCCTGGGTTCTACACCTCCCAGCTGGAGGGCAGAGGGCAGTGCGTTCTCAGGGGTCCGCCTCTGGCCACTTGGTGAGCCCTGCAAAGGCCCTGGGTTTCAGAGGCTGCCACGCCAAGCCGGCCCAGAGTCCTCCCTGGGGGACAGACCCGGGCTCCCAGCCCCGCTGCAGGAGCGCGTTGGAAGGAAGGAATATCGCGGAGCCTCAGTTTCCCCCAACAGTGAAAGGGGGCAGGCGTGCTGCTGCCTTACTCCCGTCGAAGCCTGGAGGGAACGGGCGGACCTGCGTAGGCTCCCGCGGCGAGGGCCGCCCCCTCTCCCGGAGACCCTGGCGGCCCTACCCTACCTAAGTGGAGCGCTGGCCTGGGAAGGCTGCTGGCCTCTGCACCCGGGTCCTTTCCTTGCTGCTGCCGTCTGGACAGGAAACCAGTGTGATTTGTCCTTGGTGACAGCCAGCCTCCCGGGCCGGTGCACATGTGGCCGCACGCGGTCCCCGGAGGAGTGCAGTTTCAGCCTGCGAACTGAGCACCGCATCTTGCCCCCTGCGGAGCACGTGGCTCCGCACAGCCTCTGGGGAGGGGCCTGGGGCCGGAAGACACAGTGGTCTCATCGCTGACCCTTTGCCTTGTCACTCTGTGCCCCCAGGACCTCACATGTTTCCTGTGAACAAATTGCAGTGTGTGTCTATGTGTGTGAATGTATGGGTATATGAGAGTGTGTGTGTGTGTGTGTGTGTGTGTGGTGCGTGGGTAAGTGTGCATGCGAGTGTGGATATGAAGGGATGGGTGTGTGAGTGTGTGTGTGAATATGTAGATGAGTGTGTGGGTATGTGGATGTGCGTGTGTGTGTTTGTATATTTTTGTGTGTATGTGAGTTTAGGTGTGTATGTGTGTGAGTCTTTTTATGTCTGTATGAGTGTGTGTTTACATGTGTACGTGTTTATGTGCAGGAGTATGTGTGTGTGTTCACGTGTGTGTGGGTTTATGTGCATGTGTGTGTACATACTCGAGCCAGCAGCTCTGTGAGTGTGGAGTGTGTCCTGCTGCAGGGATGGACAAGTCTGTCCCAGCCTACTTTGCCTCTTCGGCCAGGACACACATTCTATCTCTGGTGGGCCCTCCTCCGCCTCCCCTTCCCGCCCTACAGGCCCACCAGCGGGGTGGCAGAAGGCTGCTGGAGCTGGTGATGTGGTGGGCGGGGGACTGGAGAGAGGGTGGGACCCTGCCCTTCTTCCCCTCGAAGCAGGCCTTAGGGTGGGGCAGGCCAGCCGGGAGGGCTCCGAGAAGCGGGTGGATACCCAGGCTTCAGCCCTTTGAGAGCCTCACTGGAGGAGAAGGTGCGGGACCAACCTAGGCGTGGCATGCAGGGGCAGCCGGACACTGTGGCCCAGAGACAGGCGCCTTCTCTGGGGAGCAGGGGCAGCTGGACGGGCTGCCTCTGAGGGTTTGCCAGAGGAGCGATGCCTGTCTGATGTGCAGGAGCCAGGGTACGGAGGGCACGTCTCACCCACCTTGGTCCGGAGCGTGTTCGCAGCCGTGCCGCCAGCTGAGCCCACGGAGGAACTCGGGAGAGAGACTCTGCTCTGAGGTGGCGGCTCTTTTCCAACCAGAACGAAGCCCCAAAGGGAGACAGGTCTGGCCTAGCCCAGGTCAGCGTGGGGATGGCCTTTGTAGCTGACAGGGAGCAGGCCCCTGGGTGGAGAAGGGCATGGCCAGCCCGACCAGGTCGCAGTGGGGGCAGGAGGAGGGTCAGGCGTAGGGACAAACAGGAGGACCCAGAGAGTCAGACATCCCGCCGCTGTCCTGCCTCTTCCTGGAGCGGGCAGCGGAGGGCAGGCTGCCAGTGGGCCCCACCCGCCGTGGACGAGGGCGGTCTCAGGAGCCTCCAGTTACAGGGCTATTTCCTGGGAGGGCTGAACCCCCAGTGCGTAGCGCTTCCTCCTTTGCGGTTCCCAGCCGGCAGGATCCAGGCGCCTCAGTGGGCAGGGTCTAGTTAGGTGCCTGTCTGCTGGCCGTGCGGGCCAGGCGGGCTTTAGGCCACTCTGGAGGGTGCTGGAATTGCCGGCAACCCTGGTCACCGGGCTGTTGAGAGGCCCTGCTGAGAAGCTGGAGGGAGGGTGGACATGGCTCTGCGGTCTGGACTGACCAGTGGTCTCACTTCCTCGGAGCTGTCTCAGGAGCCCAGGAGCATTCTGGGGTTGCTGGCTGGGGTGTGTCTTCCTTGAGCCCTGAGCCCAGCGGTGGGTGCCCAGCACTGGGTGCCCACCCTGCTCGGCCCCAGGCAAAGGAGTGAGTGATGGGTCTCAGCTCCAAAAGCTAACTTTGAGGTTCCATGGTCCCCTTGGGCCATCCTGTTGGGCTTTCTCTGGCCACAGTTCAGAGGCAGAAGGAGTCAACCATGCGGTGCCAAGCAGGGCTCCAGGATGGCCCAGAGTGGCCCCAGGACACAGAGGGACCAGCACCTCTGTCCGGGACACCCAACACCCAGACTCCCACATGCCTTCATCCTTCCAAAGCCCAGAATCACCACCCAAGGTGGCTGGAGCTGCCCACATCACGGACACCCCCAAACCAGAATGCCCGGTTCCCAGGCCCCCCAGGGACCAACCCCAGGGGGCACAGCATCCAGCACCTCTGGAGAAGCCAAGGCCAGCACCCCTTTCCCTGGACAGGGGCAGGAGGCTGGGGGGAGCAGGTCCTCCAGCCACTGCGTGACTGACAGCAGCACTGCTTTCTAGATGCTTCCAACGAGGGTCTGGGGAGCCCAGAGGGGCCGCTCTTCAGGGGAGCATGTCCATTTGCCCACTGTCCCTTCCCCATGTGCTGGGAGCTGTGCTCAGCTCTTGGCCCTCCCAGGCCTGACCCGGGTTCTACCCCCATGAGCCAGTGTATGTGGGGGTGGGGAGGTCCCATCATCCCCCACCCTAGCCTTGATGATGGTGCTTGGTTGCAGGCCACAGGGGTTGATCTGTCACCAAGGGGCCCAGCAGCAGGTCCTGCTGTGGCCTTGGGTCCGGCCATCCTGCTGCTCCCTCCCTCCCCACTTTGCTGCCTTTCCAGGGGGCACAACCGGTGCCTCCTCCCTCAGACCCCTCGGTGCTAGAGATCAGCCCACACTGTGGTCAGCAGAGGCTACTGACTGGATAGAGGCCCGTGACTGGGCAGTCCTCGCAGTCCCCTGCCCTACTGCACCCAGAGACTCTTTGGATGAGGAAGACAGGAAGAGGGGTGGTTAAAAGTTGAACAGCCAACACCAAAAATAGCCCTCACCCTGGGGAGAATCTGGTGACCCCCGAGTCCGGCCCGCCCCCCTGCTCCGTGTGTTGCCCTGGAACCTCTGGGGAGGGCTCCTGCCTGTCTGCACGTCCCCGCTCTGAGCTGAGGAGTCCCTACAGCCTCGACGGAGGGACCGAGCTGAGGTGCCCCTGCGAAGGGTGACATCACAGGGTCATGACATCACAGGGAGGGATCCCCGCGACGGTGCTGGACGTGGGTGGGGTAGAGTTGTGGGGCGGGTGGGGCTCCATCAGCTGGCAGCTCCCCTGGCTCCCAGTGGCTACGGAAGGCAGGGCTGGATAAGGCCCTGCTGGGGGGCCCTGTCTTATCTATTCCCCCCACGTGCCTGATTAGTCTCTTACCAGGGCCTGGCTGAGGGCGCTGGCCCAGGGCAGATTGCAGAGGGGGTGGTGTCAGCTGGGTCCAGCTGGGCTCCGGGGCAGAAGGCAGGGTCCCAGAGCCCCAGGAGGGGTGCAGGGTCTGGGAGAGTAGTGTGGGGAGTGGCTAAGGGGGCTCTGAGGCCTGACCATCCTCAGGCCAGCTCCAGGCCTGTCTCACTAGTGGGGCAGCTGCATCCCCTTGCCAGCCTGTGCAGTGAGGCACGAGCAGAGTGCTGCTGAGTGGACAGAGGGCTCAGGGCAGATGGCGCAGGATCCAGTCCATGCTGGTGCTCTTTCAGCTGGGATCAGGGTCCTGCTGACCCCAGCAGCCCGGCTGGGTTCCCGGGTGCCCCAGAGCCCTGTGCACGGCCCTGGATATTCCCAACAAGCTTTTTTTTTTTTTAGGTCACACCCAGCAATGCACAGGAGTTACTCCTGGTTCATACACTCAGGAATCACTGCTGTTGGTGCTCGGGGGACCATATGGGATGCTGGGAATCGAACCCAGGCCGGCCGTGTACAAGGCAAACGCCCTACCTGCTGTGCTATCGCTCCAGCCCCGCTAATAAACCTTTACCTCCGGGCTCCCCCAGGATTCCTGGCCTTCTGGCCGGGGTTCCTTGAGCAGCCCCCCACAGACACCTCCGGTCCCTAGTGCCCTCTAGTGTCAAGAGCCTTCCACGGACATTGAGTGGGGGCGGCTCAGGCCACATCAGGCCCGACAAGGAACCCTCACCGAGCTGTTGGTGATTCCACCATCTTTATGTCTCGCTCACAAAACAGAAATGATCCCCGCTTCCTCGAAATGGTTTAGCGAGATCAAACAGTCTACCCAAGGCAGAACCTGAACTTGAACCCAGGCGAGCCTGTCGCTGACCTCTCTGGACACACTGAGGCCGGGGTGGGCTGAGCCTGTGACCTGGG